GCAGTGCAATCAATCAATTAATCAATCAATCAATCGGTCAATCAGCCAGTCAGTCAGTCAGTCAGTCCGTCACTAATTTGGTTGCTTGTTCCTCAACGATTTAGTGAGTCCAACGCGTTGTTAGTCACTTATTCAGTAGACAGTCTTTCACTTTGATTATCAGTTGATAAGCTGATCAGTTATCAGTATGCCAATCGATCAGTCCGTTAACAAATCTAACAACCAGTGAGTCAATCAGTGTTAAACTCCATGGCTTTTCTAACAAAATTCTGACCTTGAATCATTTGAGATTTTATCTGGACAAGACAATGCCAAAAGTGACAATACCTTACGGAATTTACCTGAAATTTAAAGCAACTGAGGTAAATAAACTTGAATGAAACTATTTTGTCCGAAAGTCTTGGAATTATGTCAGAATTATTGATTACTGCATGTGTGTCAAAAGTAACATCAAAATTAAAAAATAATTGAAATTTCTTCTAATAATTAATTGGATCTACATGAAGTTTACTGATTTCAGCACTTCTCATTGTTACTTAATTGCCGTACCTGAAAGATGGCTTTAGATGCTGGCACTGGCAGCTTAATACCTAACAGCTTTTATCATCAATTAATAATATATAAATTACATTTGTCCCAACTCTTTCAACATTTTCCATGTCCTTTCAGGTGCAATATAAAGTTTTCAGGGTCCTCGAATCATCGAAACCTCAACAGGTTCTTTTAAGTAGACCAAGTATTCTATTAGCCTTGGCAACCACATTGTCAAAATGGGAATTCCATTAGAGGTACTCGTTGGTAATAACTCCTAAATCTTTGAATTCCTTGACCTCATCCAGTCTATAACTATTCAAAGTAAAGCTTGAAATGTAGAGATGCTTTTTCTCAGTTAATGCCATAATTTTGCATTTTTTTACATGAAAATTCTGGCAATTTCGAACGCTCTTCCTCCAAAAGGTTGTCCAAATCCTGTTGAAACAAATCCTGATCATTCGCAGCATCAATGATCCTTGCAGGCATCTGCATAAAGAGCAATAGTGTTGACCGGGAGAACGACTTCGGGTAAGTCACTCATAAAAATGACAAAGAATAAGGGCCCCAACAAGGAGAACCCTGTGGGACTCCAGATGTAACTTCAGCCCAGGAAGAGGAGACTCCATCCAGCACCACTCTTTGTTGACGGTTGCTTTAATAACTTTCACACCGGAGCAGAAGTAACCCGGAGATTTCAAAACTACAGAGCTTTCGCAATAAAAGTTGATGACTCACACTGTCAAAAGCCTTGAAGAAATCCAAGAATGCTACGTCAAGGGCCGCAGCCCACTAGTGATAGGTAAGAACTAGCTGTGTTTCACATCATCAAAGAAAAAAATACATTTAAATATCCGCAATATTGACTGCAAAAATTATATTAAGTATCTAGGTATACATCTTTATGAGCATCCACTGTGGGAATCCCAAATTCAACATGTAAATAATAAATTAGAAAAGAATGTAGTTATAATTAATAAGTTAAGACACTATCTTGATTTTCATACCCCATTATACCCCTATTTATCCATACTTAAACTATGGTCTTACCAGCTGGGGTGCTGCTTACAAAAGTAGATTAAATAAAATCTGCACTGAGTAGAATAGATGTATACGAAGCATGTCCTTTGCTCATGGCAGAGAACATGTCAACCCCTACTATAATCTCCTTGGAATCTTGAAACTTGAAAATAGTTACAGACTAAAAGTATCACTTTTTACATATAAACTTAAGAATGACAAAAGTAACACCCCAGCTGTACTACTGAATATTCTCACACCTGCATCAGAGATTCACTCATATAATGCCAGGTATGTTGCAAATCAAAACTTCTTTAAGCCATCAGTATACACTAATTATGGTATGTCTACGTTTAAATTCTCTGCAATAAAAATCTGAGAATCTGTACCACCTGAATTTAAACGTTTTCCATACATGCTATTCAAAAAGCGGTATAAAAGATTCTTGTTGAGTACTCAAAACTAACCATAGTTAAACTGTTAGCTCTATAAGATAATGCTTCACAATATGCAGTTTTCCTTTATTCTAACTTGCATTTATATATGTCTTTCTTCTCTTACGATAACAATTTCGTCTGTGATGTCACTATTAATTTAAATTATACTAAACATGCGGCCAAGCCCAACTAATATCTACACATGACAGCGGCCAACTCGAAAGCTCATTGGCTACTTTGGTCACTGTACACAATTAAATATTCTTTCTTCTAGTTAATTTCTTTTTGTATTTTTTCTATATCATTGTAAATCATGTAATGTTAAGTTATTTTTTCTGTAAACATTGTGAAATAATAAAACTTGAAAACTTTCACATGATCTGCCTTTGACAAATCCATGTTGCCACTCAGTTAATAGGGTGCAATATGCTCGTAGACAGCAGTATGCACTATCTGCTCCAAAAACTTGCTGGAATGGGCAATAATGAGATTGATCTGTAGTTGTTTTACAAGTTCCCTGCTGTCACTCTTGTGAATTGGAGTGATATTAGCCGATTTCCATAAGTCAGGCACTTTTCCAGACTTCAGAGACAATATTTAAATTTCCCGCGTTCATATTGAAAAGAATTAAACAGTTCCTTAATTTACAAAAAAATATGATGAGCTGGAAAATACCGATCAAATTCTAATCAAAAAGTAAGAGTATTGTGCAAAACAAAACAGCCTCAGGAAATACCTTATGCTTACAAGCCTTTGTCCTCGCCTTTCAGATATTTCTGTGTACAGCGGAGTGTGTGTTGATATCAAATATTCGCAATTTTTTGTATTTAGCAGCCTCTGTAACCATTCCCATTATTTTCAGAGGAAGGGCCCATATAAAAGAATATGTGATTTTAAAGCCGACTGATGCTGAAGGGTCGTTTTCTGTCAGAGTTTCACGCTGTTTTTGTTTGACCAAACCATACTCTTCGTGTTCATAGTAGTTTGATCACAGTCTTTTCTCCGATCCCTTAAGGAACCAGACAACTTCGTTGTCAGGGGCCTTTCCGTTTCCTTAGAGAGCTAGCAACCTTCTGCACGAGGCCAACCATTTGAGCTTTACTATGTGAAGAATCTGAATGAATACAGCCTGATCAAATCGACCATGAGAAACGGAACAACGTAACAGATAAAGTGTATCCAGCCTGAATGTTAATAAAAAACGAAAAATCTCGACGGTGATTGCATTGCCATAAGATTTATTTGTCGTACAAATTCATTATTCGCCTTGGTGATTACTATGTTTCTACTTCTGGTTATTTTTCTTCTGTCCATTGTCAATGATCTCAAATAAAGGAAAAAGTAAAAGATTTAAGGGCCTCAGCAAGATCAGTCCATGCGATCTAGAGGTCGAGAATTGGAGACTGATTTTTCGTTCAGGAAAATTCTAGTAACGAAATTGTCCGACAGAAATTTTGGGAACGCGGTCGATATTGGGACGCCATATATGTACCTTTTCGGGAGTACAAATATTGCGTCCGGAAAGAAATTGATTCCTAAATTGATTCCCACTGTGCGATAGCATATAAATACATGAACACATATTAACCTTTTTACTACTAAAATCTCATTAGCAATTCTCCTTATTGTCTGCAATACAGTTCTCAGGTTGTTAGTATGGAGAATTTGGTATTAGATCAGCTAACAATCCCTTGATTGATATATTTATTTATTCTCATAGCCTGTCTGCTTGATATTTCATTGATATTTTAATGAGAAATTTTGTCATGGTCACTCATAGGAATTAAAGGGTTTAAAGGCTTCCACTGCTCAGGGGAAAAATGTTACACGATCAAATCATTTTTTCCCTTGGCCGCCACTTTAAATCATCTTGGCCCTCTGGACTGAAATCTTTGGCCTGCGAATGGCGAAGAAGATTTGGAGCAAGATGTCTTTCCGCAAAATGAGGGATGGAGGTTAAAAAAACTGGAAAGGTCACCAACAAGACGATCGAAAACTCGTTTTCACCGTCTTCGCGCCATCCAAATTGTCAAACCGTACTGACGATTTCATAGATCAACGAAAGCTTGGAATAGAAAAAAGAAGTGAAAGAGGCTAAAGATCTCAACCGAATCATCCATTTTATCTGTAAAGAGTGTCACACTACCGTATCCCTGAATCAAACAATAAAGTCATGAGAAAGACGGAAATTATCACCAATTTGAGAGGATGCTGATTTTTGAGCATATTTAATTCTTCGTCAGTACCAGAGAAAATGCATAGAAAACAGAATGGAATAAGCATACTTAATGTCAGGTGATGAAAGGTTGAGAGTGAAAATTAGCTTTGTGAAGTCTGGTCAGAAATCACCATATTTCATCAACAAGACTCATGAGATATTCATATTTTTCAGATAATGCAGAGAGAGGTTAAAAAACTCCATCAATGGACATCAATATACGTCAAGGACATATATCCATTAAGCACAAAGCTCGATAGTGATTGGCTCTCCGCGAGCTACACCTTTCAAAGAAATTACTGCACGCCTCAGTAATTATCAAAGATGTTTTGGTTTTGGTTTTTGGTTTTTTTTTTTACGACTTCCAGGTTAATGTCACGTGATTCCATGCAGTCAATGTTAGAGGGCCTATTTGCTCTTCACATGTTAAGTCATCCCCTCCAAAATACAGGGAGAAAACGAAGATGGCACATTTCTACATCTAGCTCTTTTTTTTTGAGTGCGAGGCGATGTAAGTTGCGGAATTAAATTTCATTATTTGACCAAATAGAATCTGTGTTGCCTTGTGTCTGTTCAATGATCAATCATCACAGATGACGTCAAAATGTGATGCACACACAAAAAAAGAGGCACATGATGCGCCGTTGTTGGTGCATCATTTTTGACCAGATCTTTGAACTCAAAGAATTATATAAAGCAAACGTAACTTACAAATGAGAATGAGTGCATGGATTTTTACCTTCTCTACTCTTTGTAAATAAGTAAACTGCATTGCAGTTTTACAAGAAATATAATTTACAGCTATAGATAAAGTTTGCATTAAAATGCATCCTTTCATTTATTCAAAATAACGACAACACACAGATATCCAAGATTACAGCTGGTCAACTCGCAGATCCATCAAAGTGCACGATTTTACATCATCACCTGATGTACGGCAGTTTCTTAAAGACTTTTCCTTCCCCTTCTTTCTCCTCTACTTCTTTCTCAGATCCAGCAACATCCTCTTCAGATCCTGAAAATTATCCTGCAGAATTTTAATTTCCTTCTGAATGTCTTCAGTTGTTACTCTATTGAAACGGTCTCGATAGCACATCTAAAACGTGAGGAAATCGTACGTCTCAAATTAAAAAATAATCGCTAAAAGTTGACAAAGAAAATAAGATGGCGATGGTCATAATGATATATGATATATGCCTCCTTCGCCTGGTCACCCCATATGGTCAATCAGGGCACAGACACATTTAGCTTAAACACTTTTTTGTAATTATAAACAGGGCGAGTAATTTATTTCAGAGTTTGAGAACTGCCACAAAGAGAGCTCCCTTGCCTTATGCTTCCAATTGGCCGAGGAAACAATCCCTTGAGGCCGTGGGAGCGTGCCGAGGTATAATATATTAGCAGATCACTAATAAAGCCAAACCATTTACAGCTTTGATTTCTAGCCCATCACACTCCACCTCCTCCACCCTCCCTCTCCCCCACCCTCCCTCTCTCCCTATTTCGAACATACCTTTGCCAGCACTTTAATGCCTGGAGATCCCATTGAGACGATGGGATATAGAGTTTGTTTAGAGTTATACTCCACTGAAGAACGCCCTACTTCTTCACCGTTCAAGGAGAACAACACAGAGATTTTACCATCAGGGACTTCTACAAAATCAACTTCACAAGCGATGAGATCGCCGCGGTAAGCCACGGCTCCTAAGTCATCAACATAAGATATTTAGAACACAGCAAAAAGAGAACAAATTAAACAAAGTTAACTGAAGGTGTAACAACATTGGGTAAAATTCAAATTGAACCCCTTAACGTTTACAAACTAACATTTCTAATCTCTTTCTTCTCTGAAATCAGATATTTATTGTTGCAAGGTGGGATTAAGGACGACAGTAAAACCTTGAATGCGTTTTCAAGCGCCATCAGAAAGTTGTTAGTCGGTAACTGGAGATTTCGCCCCATTACCAATTCGCCCCTAAAACATCTTTGAGTTCGTCTTCTGCAGTAAAGCAAGCTTCGCCCCCCCTCCCCTTTACCAGTTCACCCCCAAAATCTTTCAACTTGTCACCTTCAATAGAACATGTTTTTCTGAAATCTTCATTTATATCGATCAACATGAAATATCACAGCAAAACCATAAAAAAACTTCTATCAACATGAAAATTATCAGCCGTGTGAAATGACGCACGACTACCGAACAAGTAATGTAAAGTCGCTGCATTATTCTGCTCTTTATCTAACGTGGTTCACACTATTTTATGCTAGTGTTCGCAGAAAATTTTACGAAACACTTTTATGAACAAACTAGACTAAAACGGCCTCTTTAGGAGACAACACACATTCTAAAGCAATGACCGACATACGTATTTTGTAGTTTGATACTCGCACTCCTGCGTCGTTGTGCCAGGCATTTCACTACAACTTATCGAGCTTTCGAACTCCATCCTTCTCCAAAAACAATCACACGTTGTTCGAAACGTATCTTGATTTCACCAGAGAAGTAGTATATATTCTACCGTCAGAGAACGAGTGGAAAGATTTAGGAGCGAACTGGTAAGGGTAGGGGCCAACTCATTTTACTTCAAGGGGAGAACTAACAAAGACTGTAACGGGACGAAACCTCCGTAAAAATTTGAGTAAATGCGTGACCTGCAGTCAAAGTAACCCATACCTTCAATCTCTCTTCCCACTTCAGGGTAGCCACCTTCAAATATTTTCCCATCGTCTACATGGTAACCAACTGTTCCAATACCACAACCAGGTATTTTGTGACAGTCGAAATCTTCATTCAAAACACCTAGTGCTATAATGCGCCCCTCTCCAGTCCCCTGAATGAGTACCTGCAAAAAGATGACGGTCTCGTCTTTCTACTATGAACACCTCACTAAGCTCACTCTTTAAAGTAAGTATATCATAGTTCTCTCAACTAGAAACAAGTAAGTGCGCCTACAAAAGAACAGTTATAAGCACCTGGGCTTTCAAAAGGAAAAAGGTCAAGAAGAGGTGTACTTATGTCGCTTTTCCCAGAGATTTCACCGTGTAGCAGGAATTATGTGATCGACATATGTTGTTCGCAAATAGTTCTCTTCGTATGGCGGAGGAGCTCCTAAGAGTGGGGGTGGGGCTATATGGTAAACTATGAATGTGTGTGTGTATGCATGTATGTCTGTCTATCTGTGTGCGTGTATGTATGTATGTAGGTATGTCTGTGTGTGTAAATCAAACCCTCACCTCAAATCGTGGTGTCTCTTCTGTAAAGGGAGAATTTAATTTGGCACTGTGAATGTTGGTACGCTTTCCATCTTCGCGGCATTTTTCGCAGAAATCAGGTCCTAAGTAAGTTAGGAGGCAGCCATCCACAGCAATTCCCTGCGAGTTATCCCACGCCTTCAAATGATGATCAAATAAAATTTCTGTTACATGAAGTACCTTCCCAAAAGTGAGGCAAAGAGACACAGACAAAAATAATTACACAACTCTGCAAATGTAGTTGTGTATATCTATATGCTCATATATCTTTTACTAGATTTTTATGCATAATCAAAAAACTCAGTTAAAACTGAACATCATTTTAAAGTTCTCACAAACGCACACATCCCAAATCTACTTCAAAAGCTTCAAAAGAAGAGGGAAATACGACACAAAGTGTACTCAGTAATTTTCCCCATTTCACATTTAAATTTGCATGAAGGAAAAATTTTTGTGTAAAATAAAAAACATAACAAAGGTATCTCCTCGTGTAGTAAGGTCTATGAAGTGTGGTGGGGAACCTCTGTGGGCCTGAAAAATACTCACACTTTGGCCAAACGCAAGTTTCTTCGCCTTGTTTCCATGCGTTTGGAATACTTCCCGTACAATCTGATTAGTCATTTTCCGACCTCCTTCATTTTGTCTAACCAAGTGATCCATCTTTCTTTCCTCTAAAAAAAGATAGAAACCACCCATTAACTTGGCCTGTTTTGAATGGTGTTAACAAAATCATATGAATATGAAAGCGATCTTCGCAGTAATGAACACTACTCGAGCATATCACCCTACCTGTAAGGGGAAATTCATAACCGTACTTCTCAATGTATCTTCTTTCTAGCTTCTTCACCAATTTATTCAGGGTTCCTCTCTGTCGAATCAAAGAAATTTCAAATCAAAAGCAGAAATGAAACGGAAAGTAAAATAACTGAGCGGACATGAACGATAACTCTCAAGAACAACAAAACAATAAAAACTCAAAAAAAGTTGATTAGCACGCGTTACCAGCTTACCCGCCCTTCCTCATCCAAACCACGAGTTTCAGACGATGTGCAACACGGATAAACGATGTTCCAGAGTAACATTAGTGGGACAGACAAAATGTTGAAAGGCACTGGTATTGGATGACTCTTACTGTAAGTCCTAACAATAATGGCTCTCTTGAAAGACCACTCATGCAGTGAATTATCCTAATAGAGACATAAAGAGGGACTTAACAGCATCTAAGGACGTACCAGTAAATAAGAACAACAGGCGTCACTCCCTCAGCGGGAGAAAACAGTCATATCATACACAAGAAATAAAATTCCATATCATTTTTTTTACAAAAAACTCCTCAAATTTTAACTCCAAAACTACGAATCCAATTTCGGACGCGCTGCACAAAAGGAATAGGGAACTTAAGCAAGCCGCAACGCTAACGGCAACGCATGGATCAACGAGAGATCCAGCGAACAATAGCTCAGCAAGTGCGTTGTAGAACTGTTTACATTTCTTGCCCCCCCCACTGCAAAACAACGTCGTGAAATCACCAAAATTTTCGTGGTCTGTGAGCGGAGACCCCGACGGCAAATTTTTCAAGTTTCCCTTTCTAACTAAAGGCTGCTCATACGCGTTAAGTTGAAGCTGAGGTGGGGCGCCATAAGAGACAGTAAACACATCCAGCCACTCGCAAAATTCTAACCAAAAATATAGATCTATTTTATTGATCTACATCTTCTTGACTGCTTAAGGTCGCCAATATCATTAACGGGAACCTTGAGCTGTTCCTCTTGGGCTGATCATCATTCTTACAGAGAAACAACATGGGTACGATATGGAACTTTTTTAACCAGTTGGATCATAATATTGTTGGCCAAAATAGATTTTTAAGTGATCATAGAAGCTTATCAACGAAAAGTATTTGGTATCTTTTGCCGAAAAGAGCCCATATTCTCTTAATTCTGGATTATGATAAGTATAAATTAATTCCGTGATGGCAGGGATCTGTTTAGTACCTGAACCTGCTGATACGTATTGGAGAGCAAAGCAATCATCATGTTCACGAGAAGAACAACTACCATGATTAAGAACAAGCCGTACAGCAGACGAATAAAAAAAACGGAAGGAAAGTCGGCGGCGTCCAACTTATCCACTTCAGCTAAACCCAGCAAGGACCAGGTTAGGTGTGTCGCTATGTCCCACCAACTAGAGAACAGTTTCAAAAGCAAGTAGTTAGATAAACAAATCATTCATTCAATTTTTCAACTGAGAGCAGTATGACCGCCATAGCTATTTCTTAACATCCGCGTTGCGGTAGCTTTCGAGTCAAAGGTGCCTCGATGTCTGCTATTCAATTTCACAGGAGAAACTGAATAGCAGGCTACTTGTGCAAGTTTTGAGTGGCGAGGCCCCGAGAGAAATGGAAGGCAAAGAGGGTTACTTCAAACTCGGATCTACTTCTTGTTTCGTAACTCCAGATCTACTACCACGAAAATTAATGGCGTCTTCCTGAAAGTTTTCATTTCGAAAAACGACAAATTCTGGTGAAACACGAAGGATTACAGTGGAACCTGTTCTATAAAACACACGATTTCTTTTTCACTCCCCCCCCCCCCCCCCCCCCCCCCCCCCCCCCCCCCGGGAGACCTAAGTTTGCCTTTCCTCAGGGAAACGACAGGTAGCCAGCCGTTCATTATTTATTAACACTAGTAAAACCTAGCTGACACACTGGGTCGCTGCCTCCTTTGCCTCACAAATTCAGCTCACAACCATGAGTCTTAATTGATTGTGAAGCATTTAAAACGCAGAATTCACGTTTTGCGATGATACCGCGTGATTCGATGTATTTAGGATCAGTACACGATGTAAAAAATTGGAATGAAAAACAACAATAGTTTTACTCTTACCAAAGTATCCCTGGTTCACTGCATACCCTTGAAATACTAGGAGAAAAGGAAGGATTAAAATTTACACATATTCATAAAGATAGTAAAAAAATCTCGCTCTTTACAGAAAGTCTGGCACTCTGGTGTAAGTAGTTTTAAACTCCTGTTACGCTTCCCATCCAAAAACTAAATCTCACTTGATTAGCTCTTAGCCAAATGTCACTTTCTTTGGGCGCCTAAACACACATGAGGTTCCCATCCCAACTTAAAAAAAAACATTCACACTATGAAAATAAGAGTACAAAATGAATAAGCACAACAAGTTAGAATCTGTCATTTATGGGTTCGAAAATTTCTTGGCAAGATCATAATTTCTACTCACAAATCTTCCGCGGAATCTCTTCCTGAAGTATAAGCTTTCTCAGCTATATAAATCTTTGTAATGGGCAGCGCAAAAGCCAGTATCAAAGCCACAAACTGCCAAAATATCCCCAAGACATCAGACATGATAAAGAATAGGGCGATTTGTATTGTACCCATTTTCCGCAAGCGCTCTATGACTTGACCAAAGGCTCTTAGTGCAAGAAACATGGCAATAAAACCATAGAAATACTCCGACACAATCAAGGGTCTGTTTTCTGATACGTCAGTGGAGATCCTTAATGTGATTATGCGTAATATAATGGTAATCAGGTACAAAACAAGAGTGACGAAGTCAAGCAAATTCCAGCGGTCACTATAGATATAATGAATATCAACTGCATTAGAAGAGCATAAATAAACATAGTCAATGCACAGAGCGTACGTCATTCACATGCAAGAGAATAGGTTTACGTATGAATGATGTTGTTACATTTTTTACAAATGGAAGATTTAAACTGTTGGTTTACCAATTTTTTTTCCTTGCTTGTTAGATTTTTGCTTGTTAGTTTCAAAATCATTATCATGTTGCTTAATTTTTTGACCTGAAAGTACCTAAAAAAAAGAATATCCCTCCTTAATGGTGTACCTAAACAAATAACAGTGGCCCATAATGGTGTATCCAAAAATCAAAAGATACTCATACTGTTGTGCCTAAATAAATTAAAGTGGCCCTTCTTATTACACCTAGAAGGCGACTCGTAGTTCACATACTGGTCTACCCAACTAATGTGAAGTAGCCCCAATCGATGTGGCAAAACAATGAGCGAGGGTTCGTATTGGCGTACCAAAACATTTGTTACTGGCCCCTATTAATGTACCCAAGCATTAAAAATGGTGCATTCTATCATGATTGATGCAGCTCTTGACAATGAACAGTGGGCTATACTGCAGCACCCAAGCAGTCAATAGTGCTCAATTTTTGCTACCTTATCAAGATGGTTACCTTTTTTTCGTCAGTTAAATTCATGTGGTCACTGGTCACGTAGATGTATGCCCTTTACATGTTTGGGAATCTAGAATTCTCCAAAAGTAAAATAAACCGATCAAAAAATTAGATACCTGAAGTAACCAGTAAACGTCTTTAGCAAAATGCTGTCATTTCCTGCCTCGTTTGTCTCCTGTGGATCCTCAGGTGAACATGCTTGGCGGGTGGATCCGACACTATTTCTCTTCCCTTTGCGCGCTTTCACTCCGTTCTTTTCATGCCTAATCATGATAAACTGCTCTATCTCCATTACAATGCGTCCCACGAAGAAAACTGATATGACCAATTCTAGTCGACTGAAGGAAAGAGTTGAAGGGGACAGGCAAAGAGCGAATAGAAGGACGAGGAGGGTGATATAGCTCAGCGTGTCGCGACAAAAGACGAAATAAGGAGTCGTAAAGTAATCTTTGTATCTCTCTGCAAGACAAGGGGTGAGACGCTAGCTTAGAATGGATACTCTCGAAAGAAAATTCAAAGAGTGCTGACAATCTGTCAAAACTTATTGGAGAAAAATCTTCAACAGTCTATGAAAATATAGCTACCAAACAGGCCTGTCCTCACCATAGATGTCCTTTCCCTCGATACCTGCAAGAAAAGTTAAACATGGATATGATAAATCCAGTGGAGGGAGATGTTAGAGCCTTTAAATCACGTCACCGTTTAAAAAAACACTTACTATTCAAGCTGTAACAACGGGATGTAATACTTTCTTTTTCTTTCCGACATAACATAGAAAATTAATTATTCTGAGGAGGTGTGGTTCGTAAAGAAATGTTAAACCTCTCCAACTTACCTTGTATGACCGCTGTCCCTAACGTCTCGGGTGACTCGTATTCTCCAAAGTGAAGTGCTGTGCCATCTTTAGTTGCCATCCATTTTAATTCTGATAATTTGGCGTTCTCCCCAATACCGACGGGAACGATGTTAACTTGCATATCCTTTATATCCTCTACTAATCTCTGTAGCTCCACAGTTTTTTCCATTGACATATCCAATGTGTAATTAAGAAAAAACACGACAACCTGATGAAAAATCAAACTAAGATTTAAAAAGATATTTAGAGTAATTTTTAGCACCAAACTCACAAGGTTGATCAGTTATGATCAATATTACTTGATTCTTCCAAGTATTGCTGATTTTCTTGAAACTTTTTGACTCCTTTATGTCAGTATTATCAAGGCTGTCTGGCTCGCCACTTATTTAATATGTCTACACAACTGATAACTAGAGATGTTAATGTTAGGTAAGATGAATTACTAAATTAATGAATGAATAAGCTTTAAAAAAGTTGATTTGGTGAAAGGTTTAGGAAAGTCACCGAGCAATCGATTTCTTTCTCTTTCTACTTTCAGATAGTATGTATATATCTACAAATCAACCGTTGTGCTCAGCTTCTTTACTTTGACTCCTGACTTTACAGCACTATTCATAAATCAAAGGGGGGAAATATTCGTATAAGAGTATTTGAAAATCACACTACACACTTTATTTTTTTTCCAAAGGAAAACAACAAGTTGCAATATGAGTCGAGGAGACATTGAAGCTCGAGGAAAAGCAAAATTTGCCCTTTCTCAATGATTCCCTTGACCTCGTTCCAGGAAGAAAATGAGACGAAAAATAATTGTTTCCGTTTGAAACATATATCAATGCAGCGTGCGATCATCAAAATCAATCAAAGTTGAACATGATTTTTCAAATGGCTGCAGGCAGTACAAGCAACACAGGTCGAATAAAATGATAGAGAGCAGAAACCTTTCACAGTGAGTACACTATTGGAGGTACCCTTATTCCTTTGCAGTGTTGCTACATAGAATTGTCACCGAACTTACAATCGCAAGTGTTACCTTAACAAGGCCCAATAACCAGGTAATGGTTGAAAAGTGAGCCCACTCTCCCTTGTTGACTCACCGAACTCGACAGAGCAGCGGAAATCAGTCGCACGCGGACATACCTCACCTTCTTAGCTTCTTCTCGAACGTTTGGGGTTCTGAATACACGATAAACAGCTTCGAGATATTCAGAGAGTAGAGCAGGAGAGCTTGGCTGCTCTAACTCGACAATCCTATTATGCAGTGTGGCCTCACCAGAGCAACTCGTTTCAAAGTTCATGTCACAAATCAATTTGTTGTTTTTACGTAAAATCTCACAGTAGCTGGCAGATTGGTAGCCATATTCCTGAATGATGTAGTTCATCGTCTTTTTGATTAGATCAAATTCCTCTCTTGGCCCATCCTTGTCCAGCGTCGAAACAAAACACATTTCAATTTCTGCAAGTTAAGAAAAGCATCAGACGCTATGCCATCAAACCAATGAATTAAGGAAAACATACCTCAACTGACGCTATGCATCTAAACAACTCCCCAGTAGCTGCTGGTATCTAATTTCGAGACTTGGTTCCAGTGGCGACATAACGGTCACAACAATTCTTATGACTGTTATGATCTAACGGGAACAAATAACAGGCCTACAAATAATCCCACAGTTTATCTCACAACGGAAATAAACTGTAAATATTTAGCCCTTCACTGATCATTGGCCAAAACCTAAATTAAATAAAATTTTGAATTTAAGCCAAATTGACGACTTAAGGTGAACTTTTTCACGTAAGGCTTCAAAGGTCATGCAACAAATCATCTAGAGGAATGAATAACGATCAAGAATAATGTTCTATAACTTAAAGAATTATATGTTTCATTGCTACAGCTAGGAATCCTGTGTTGTGTCAGTTGGGAGGACTGAACTGACGTGGTAACTCAGTTTTAAGGAGGCAGGAGTGAGTTACGGCAATGCTATCACCCTTCCCTTCTCCAGGTCCAAACCTTGACCACCATAGCGCTTGCCAAGGGAAGTAAAAACGCATTGCCATCTACTATAAGATGTTAACTACTTTAATGAATGTTAAAAAACTATATCACAAACCTCTTCTTCTCCTCAAGACCCGTTTTATCAAATGCACAACGAAGAAAATGGCAAAGAGGAAGGGAAACAAGACGAAGTCAAACACTGTCCAAAGGTTGAGAAAAAAGTATCCCCAGCGTCCAGGTGACCGCCATGATTTCTTTCTTGTTGAGAAAAAGGAGCGGTACCATGTAGTGTTGAGCAAGTCATACACCACTGGGTGAGAGATGAACTGCGAAAATAAATCGTCAATATATTACTTTATGCAATAAGCTGAATTAGATTAGATTAGATTAGTTCTTACTCATGATTTATCACAGGAGAGCTTCATGTCACCATTAACAAAATTTTGATCCGATCTTTTTTCAAAAACTATCCTCGTGGTAGAATGACGTTGAAATGACGTTCTGTTTATTGGAATGGCATTATATTACGCTTTGAGAAGGGCACCAAGTTGCTTAGATGGGCAGCAGCTTTCCCACCAGAATCTTCTACAGGGGTGGAGTATGATGAATTGACTAGAAACGTTTTTATCATTAGTGTAGTACCTTCTTCTGCTCTGTGTCGATTGCCTTGTCAATCACATCGTCAAAACAACTTTGAAATGATTTTTTGGTATCGGGGTCAGCTTTTAGAGGGTCTATTAAGGCTGATATGAACTCATCTATAGATTTTTCCAGCATTTTTACATCATCTTTCTCCGAGTTCTCATCATGTGCTAAATCTTGAAGTGCTTTGTTGACCTGTGGGAGAAAATAATTACAGTTATTACGTTAATCAAACGGCTCTATAAAAATCATTGATAATGTTTCTGAACTCCTCTCAGTCTCAAGTTGTTGAGAATGAGAGGAGGGTTCTTACAACAAGTCAAGTCTCGATAATTAACCAATTCAATACTGAAATTCATTTATTAGTGTCATTAATTGTGTCGAACGGTCTACGCGGCGGCTATATGCATGCATACATATTAGGGGCTCAATGGGGTTTAAAATCGTTAGCCGGAAAACGGCCAAAACTCTAGCCAGAGGTACATCCGTATCGAACACTTCTTGGTCGTCTGAGTCACCACGTGTAAAACCGGGTCATATGTGGGCTTCAAGCTGTTGTTTTCCGTTCCTTCAGTCTGCAGAGAACTACATCCCCCACCTTGATATCCATCATCGATGTGCGTCTTCTTTTGTCGGCGGATGTTTTCATATTGTCTTTTTGCTCTCCGTCACGCTTCTGTATTTTGTCGTCAGTCCGGATAATCTGTTTTTCTTTCACTTCAGGGAATATTTCCTAGTATTTTTTCACGTGTACTGATATAGCAAATCAGCTGCTGATACGTCACTCGCCTTTGGCGCCACTCGGTCAGGTTGATGAATGAACGGCAAAGCCCTCACGATTCTTAATAAAAGTTGTTTGTCGGAGCTTTCTCAAATTATGGCGTCTAAAACGCTAAAAAAATACGTATTGCTGACAGATAGTGAGGTTCAAACTTTCCTACAAGGGTAAGAAAACCAATATACTAAAAGAAAACTGGAAGTTACGTCTTCAGTGGCTTTGGTGTTAGCATTTCTCTTGGCTGAGAATGAAAATCGGCAACTGGAAGATTTGTCACTGGACGATTTTGGCCGTTTACCTGAAAGACTTCTTCTGTCGTTAAGGACGAAGTCAATAAATGAGAATTTTGTAAATTGAAAATTGCGACCTTCGTTGGTTTTGCAATCATGATTCAACGCATTTTCCCATCTTAAGAGTTAGCGCCAACGCACTCTACGATTGTTATTCGGAGATTGTCGATGCGTTTATTTTCATTTATTAATGAAGTCGGCTTTTCTTCTCAGTAAAGGGCTATTGTGTTTATATGATAA